AACCTTTTGATGGTGGCCATAAAATAAACAGGTTAGTCAAGCATTTCATTGGCGGCACAGAAGAAACAACACCAAATTCAGGGCAGAAATCAGCAGTGGCCAACCGTGCCTGAAGGAGGGTGGGCAGGGAACATAATTCTATAAGAGGTCATTTCCAAAGGGTGGGAGCTATTATTAGCAAGACCCAGCCTAAGCTCATGGCAAGGAAACCTTGCCAACCAACCAACCAACTTACTCCTTCAATAGAGTAACTCGCTTAGTAGATTGGCCAAAGCTGTAGATATAGCGTGCCTGGACCTTAGCACAGCCTTCAACAGTCTTTTGACAGATGCTCCTCAATATAATGATTAAAAATAGCCCTAGAGGAGACTCCTACGAGATGGACTGACCGCAGCTCATTAATGGGTCTATGATGGCTTGGAAGACAGGATCAAGTGGAGGGCCAGAGGATCTTCTGCCGGTCACCATTCTTATCAATGACATGATGAGGGACTTGAGGGGACATTTATCAAATCTGCAGAAGATACAAAGCCGGGAGGGATGACTCAAACTGTAGAAGAAAGAAAGATGACTCAGAAAGATCTCGACAGGATGGAGCAATGGGCAGAAATGAAAAGGATGGACTTTAACTAGGGGAAATGTCAAGTTGTGAGTCTGGATACAAAAAAATGCAAGATCGAAGAATGAGATGAAGACTTGGTTTGACCATAGAGCCTGGGAAAGGGACTGAGGTCTCCTTGTGACTTCAGGTTAAACACGAGGCAGCAGTGTGATGCAGCTGCTAAAAGGCAAACATTATTTTAGCAAGGTCATGGTGTCCAGTTAATGGGACATCGATCCACTCTAACATGCCCTGGTACGTGTCTAGTTCTGGGCAGCATAGACTCAGAAGGGCAATGGCAAAGTGGAGCAGGTTTGCAGAAGTGCTACCAAGATGATGAGGGGTCTGGAAACCACGAGGAACATTTTAAGGATCTGGGCATACTTAGACTCCAGAGGGGAAGACTTGAGGGGGAGATGAGAAAGAAGTTATCAAATAACCTGAAAGACTGTCCCACAATACGGGGAGAAGGGTTATATCAGAAGCAGTGGATTAGATTTACAAGGAAGTAGATTCAGGTTGAAGGTCAGGAGGCACATGCCAATGATATGACTTCAAAGTCAACGACATTGGCTACTTCATGAAGTGATGGGTCAAACACACTTGGAGATCAACTGCCAGAGAGACACTACAGGAGGACCAGACTAGGTGGCTTCTAAGATTCCTTCCAACTTTGTGCTTTTTGCTCCCCCTTGTTTTATGTCATTGGAATAATTCTTCCATGGGCAAAATTCTGAGATTTTTTTTTCTCCCAATACCTCTTTGCTTCTAGTAAATCAGTGTTTCTCAACCTTGACCATTTTAAGGCATGTGGACTTCAACTCCTAGAATTCCACAGCCAGCATTGCTGGCTGTGGAATTCTGGGAGTTGAAGTCCACATGCCTTAAAACTGTCAAGGTTGAGAAACACTGCAGTAGAGAGAAATGTCTTGTGGGGATCCTGGAAAACTACTAGCAAAGAAGACCAGCCGTCGTGGGGGAGAAGAGGCATTCGGCTCCCCAAGGCAAAGACTCATTTGATGCCCTTGAAGATGGACCTGGGCTGGGCTGGGCAAGAAGGTGCCGAGGCAGGACCAGCTCCAAGCAAGGGAATGAGAAGCCTTTCCTGCTGCGTCTCTGCTGTAGCTTGAGATGCGTCTCCACAGGGTGGGAAGATGGTGAGCAGGGCAGGGCCAGGACAAGGAGCGCCATCCATCATTCCCCCTGTGCAATGTCCCCGAGACATGGCCTATTAGCTTTAAAATAGACCATTCTTCATTCCACCCAGCCGTTCAAAGACTGTTTGATCTCTCGGAAACGTCTCGCCTCTAATGGATGGGCACCGGCCACTGATTGGAGCCTTTCTCTTCTCCCCTGCCCCTCCCACCCACTCCTCCTTTGACCAGGCCCCCTCCTCTCCCCAGCCTCCCCGAGAAAGAGCGGAGGCTTCCATCAACGCTCTCTACTCTCTACGAGGATAGATGGCTCACAGCATCCATTGAGTCAGCTCCCGCTCCCGCTCCTCCGCAGAGCGCTCCCTGGTGGCATTAGGGCTTCATTAGCTTCAAATTGTTGGAGCAGATAAATTATCGCCTCCTCTCCAGGGTGAGGGCCTATTCCAGGGGCAGAGAGCTTCCATCTGAAGCGATGGGTTTTGGCAGGAGAGGAGGAAGAGAGGGCCAAGCATGGGGAGGAGGGAGACTCCGCCTCACCAAAAGGCTGGGGGCGACGGAGGAGGGGGGACCAGACGAGAATGCTGGCTCACTGCTGCCTAAAGAGACACGGAGGGCTGGAAAGATGGATTTGGGTTTCAAAAGCTCAGGAAAACCCAAGGAAAGGATGGTGGCAACAGATGGGAATGGCAAAGCCACCCAGTAGCCTGGATGCCCAAGGGGTCTCTGAGGGTCAACCCCCAAAGAGACCACAGCTTAGGAGAGATTCTTTGGCTTCATTCTGCCTGCCCAATATCCTGTTGCAGTGAAGAGACTCTGAATATCTGAATATTCATCCCGGTCTATTCAATTCAGGATATTGCATTTCACTCTTCTCCTCATCTTTTTTGCAAACCAGGCCTGAGAAGGCTACCTTTTCATTTCAAGATCAAGCTCTCTCTCTCTCTCTCTCTGTTTGTGCATGCGTGTGTGTATTTTGTGCATGTTTGTTTCTCTGCTGGGGCATCATCTGTACGGCTCGCAAGCACTGGAGAGACGCTCTCTCTTCCCCTCCCTCTCCTTTTCTCTTTGTGGTTTAATTAGTATTTCCAAGTGCTGTGATCCCGCTGGGAAACCGGGTAAAATACAAGGGAAGGATAACCACCAACAATGATTCTTAATTAGTGAATGCTTCAGTTCTTTGCCACTGTCTGCGAGAGAGTAAGAGGGAAGGAGGGAAAAAAATTGCAAGCAGCAAATATAGCCAGACAGTCTGGGCCGATGCGGGAAGAAGCCTCAGAGGACAGGGTGTGTGTCTGCACGGATGAGAGAAGCTATTATGCTCTACTTGTTGCTTAATCCAAAACACGGGGTAGGCTGGTGTTGTCTTCTCCCAGCTGGGAACCTCTGCCATAAATACACGATGTGCTTTGTTGCCTTAAATTAGGCTTCTGCAATCTGGTGTCCCTCCAGATGTGTCGCTAACCAATGCTCAGCCTCTCTAGTTAGTCCAGAGCGGTTAACCCAGCGCATTAAGAGGGCATCGGGTTGAGGCACGCTGTACCAGGTGTTCAAGGGACTGGTTTGGCTCTGCTAGACAATCAATAAACCTTTGGGGATAGCAAGAAGAAAGCCTTTGTTCTGAATTCAGCCCACAACCAGCGTCTCCGCTCCGCACTGCAATAGCTGTGGCCGGAGGAGATGCTGTGAGCTGAGACAGATGGAAACCTGGGAGGGGGGAGCTATGAAATCAGCCTAGTTCCAGAAGATTGTAGACTCTCATTCCTTCTGTGGGCCCTGAAGCCCGAGGAGAAAACACGGAAGGAAACAGAGAAGAAAAAAAGGAAGGGAGACACCACTGCATTAAAGATTTATCAGGAAGAAGAGAGTACTGCTTTTGGTTATCTGAAAGGTCCAAATAAGATGAATTAACTTACGGGACGATGCCATTGGGTTGAATGTTCGGGGGAATATTAAAAGGCCTTTCTCTCACATGACGTAACCTTAGAAAATGGTTACCTAGAGAGTGATCATTGACTGTTGCATAGAAAGTATGTGCTCTCCTTCCTGGAAGTCCTCAAGAGATACTGGACAATAACAGTTGTCACAGGGATGAGCCTGGATGTCTTGCATATTCAGGGCTTGTATTAGATCAGTGGTGGCGAACCTAGGGCACGGGTGCCAGAGGCGGCACGCAGAGCCCTCTCTGTGGGCACGCGTGCCCTCGCCCCAGTCCTAGGCCTTCAGCTGGGTTTTATAAAACCTTTTTGCTTTAGGCCTCTGCCGCTGTGTGCAAACAAAAAAAAGGTTCGATCAGTCAGTCAGTCAATTTCAACTTCTCACGAGAAAAAAAAAGATCTTGCAAAGTTGGAATTGATTGAACTTTTTAGTCCCACCCAGTCTGCCGTTACCAGCACAGCCACGCCCACCCAATGGGCCACACCCACCCGGCACCCGACGATGCATAAGTGGGTTTTGGGTTACAGTTTGGGCACTCGGTCTCTAAAAGGTTCGCCATCACTGTATTAGATGGTTAGAAAGACTGACCCAATCTGAAGCAGGCCACCACAGACCCACCGGATGTTTGATGTAGAGCAGTGGTTCTCAACGTTTGTGTGACGGCGACCCCCGTCACACAAACGTTCTGCGCATGCGCGGCGGCGCCCCCATGCGCGGCACACATGCACGGTGGCGCCCCCTGGGAGAAAATGGCGGATCACCTTCTTTGGAGACCCCCGAAGAATGATCGATCAACCCCAAATGGGGTCGCGACCCATAGGTTGAGAACCGCTGATGTAGAGTAAGGGGCCTCCTGCCAGTGACCTCCCAAGCTCCAAAGGTTGCTTCCAAGAGCCTCTTCAGTGCAAGTTTTAATATTTTCTATCTGTCTGTCCCTTCAGCTGCAAGTAAAGGTTTCCTTTGTATTCTCATGTTCCTTAGTTAAAATCTCTGCTCCGTGCACTTGGTTGGTCTGCTCGGATCAAATGGCTTCTTCATTCAACATAGGGGAAAGGTTTACAATTCGCAGAATAGTAGAGAGAAACTGAGAGATATTTGCTACAACTGAGGGATAAGTTATATTTTGTCGGGGACGTTTTGCGCAAATCTAGCTTATGGCTTCCCAACCGTAACCTCGGGCGTCACTTCTCCTTCCGCATGCTCTTCATCCCCCCTTCTTTCCCACATTTTCCCTCTCCCTTCCAAACACAAACAAACCCAACACTCCAATCCTCTCCCAAGAGGAGCCTTTTTGGACAGGGGAGACTCACCTGTCGTCCTTCACTTCTCCAGACGCCGTTTACAGTTTTGGTGGGTGCAATGGTGACCACAGGAGGTGTGTTCGGCACACTGTGCCCTCCTGGAGGAACAATGAGGGGCCCCATGGGTCCTCGCTTGGGCGTGCTTGCCGGAGAGCTGTGATTGGTGGCCGGCGAGGAAACTGGAGACGATTCGCTGCTTATTGAAGACCCTAAAATCCAGAGAAAGAAATGCGTTAGGAAGGAAGAGCTGATGCAGCGACTAGTCTCCAATGAAGGAGGATATTTGTGGCTCGTGGTTAAAATCAGCGGTCCTTGGTGCTCTCTGAGCTTGCTTGTTTTCTTGCAGACATTTCATTACCCAGACTAGGTAACATCATCACGAGTGCCAGTGATCTTAGCCCTGACTAGCACTGATGATGTTATCTAGCTTGAGTAATGAAATGTCTGCAAGAAGACAAGCAAGCTCAGAGAGCACCAAGGAGCCCTGAGTTACTAGTCAATATTTGATACTTGGTGGAACAAGAGCAAGACCCGAAACTGAAGTTTGGCAAGTTCTCCCACTATTCAACCGTCTCAAAAACTAACCCGGCAAGAACATCTTCCAAACACGGGTTCAGAGGCATCAAAAGCTATTGGTTGATCACGCTGGTTTCATATCAAGCGTTCCCGCTCCACGGTCATTAGGCCTCTGCTGTGATCTGGATTCTGAACAGAAGTGGTGTTCCAGGAGGACTCAAGCAGCTTCTGCCAGCAGCTCCTCAAAGAAGGTGCCAACAGATGCCCTGGAGTTCCAAAACCTTCTTTCCAGTGTGAATCCAGATTGCTGCCCAGACTTAACAGGCCTTCAGCTTAGATTCCGTAACATTTGGCAAAAGAAAATGGCTTCTGCCGGGAAAGGGAAAAGACAGCCAGATGGAAATGGAATGGAAATGCTTCCCGAACACCACAGCAGAAGTTACTGCGACTGGTAGGATATAGACATCTCTCTTAGCATCCCAGTAGAGCCTCACATTCTAGTTGGTACCTGCTCTCTGTTACTGAAAGAGATGAGATTTTGGATAAACAGAATAAACCCTCTTTTTAAAAAAAAGACTTTGGCAAGACTTAATCATGATTTGCAGAAAACAGTGGATGAATCTGAAGTACATCCACCTTGGAGTTACAGCAGAGAAGGACATGTATAGAGGAGAGGATGGTTGTTGCAGAAATACTATCAGGACGCCAATGAGGATTCTCCTGTGATATTTCTGTGGGTACTTCAGGACAAGCCTACTGCAAAGAAAAGATATTTCAAGGAATTCTCTGGGTGTACAGATATGAGGCACTGAAGCAGAGGAGAGCTGAGAGTTAACGAAAGATGATTCTCCTACAGAGCAAGGAATGACAAATGAGTCACAAAACCGGTTCTTTCATCATCCCACGTATGTACCTTCTTAAGAATGAATGCCTTTGTACTCAACTCCAATGTCCCTGGACATTTCCAGGACATGCCAAGTTCTAGTTTGTAAAATGCTGGCTGGATCTTCAAGAAATGAAACACTTGGGGGAGTTAGTGGCAGATGACCAGAGATGACCTGGTCAATGAGGGGAATGGTCAAGCATCTAAACAAAGCTGCTGGAAAGGCGGTCATGTCCTCCTGTTTTCCAGAAAACATTTGGATGGATGGATGGATGGATGGATGGATGGATGGATGGATGGATGGATGGATGGATAAACAGATGGACAAAGAGAGAGAGTGATAGAAGGGAGGTGGGTGGGTGGGAGAGAGAGGGGGGGAGAGAGAGGCAAAATGACTTATGTCTATGGAGATTCTCAGTCATCCAGGTCATGGTTGTCCCAAAACACATGGCACAACATAGGAGAACAAACCCATCAAGTCAAGATCCAGCAGTCCATCTGCATTTGAAAGACAACGGTTACTCTCTTGAAGGCAGCAAAGGAAGACCCCCTCAACCTTCTACTGATGATGGCTACGGTGCTTTATTCATTATTCCCTGGCTCTGGCACCCTACTTCCTTCTGGAGAGCACCGATGCTACTGGCTCTTGACAAAGGAAGCCGCAGATATGGATTTGACACCCACCGAAGTCTATCTTGTCAGCGCGACGCTGACAACAATTAGCAGCCTTAATCCCCTTTGAGCTGGGAAGCCATTACTCACCACCAAGAGCCTTATCAGTCAATACCATCACAAAGAAGCGGGCAATTAATGAAGCTAAAGTCTTACTTCAGAACCCTTAATTCTCACTGTGTGGCTTGAAAAAAGGGAGGGTTTGTGATCGTTATAATTAACTGGCAGTATTCAGCCAGGAGTTATTCAATGAAAGTAATCTGGGCTTGGAGATGACAAGAGGCACCGTGTGGCACCATCACCTTTGTTATTTGACCTCCTGCTTTCCATTCACTGATAGCAGATTAGCAGGCAAGGCTGACAGGCAAAGGTAATTAACAGCTGAGACCCTCGGAAGTCACACAGGCAGGGAGGGGACAAGGGGGGGAGGAGAGTGAACAAGACCCAGCATGGATCTGAACCTGCTGAAGCTTGCCATCTGCAAACGTGGCTGCTCACATTCGGGCCCCAATGCCCCGCCTTTTGAAGAAGGAACATCTTTCCAAATCCCAGAGGTGCTCCTCACGCTTCCAGGAGAAGTCAATCCATATATGGATCTCTGGGCTGGGACTATGGGGCAAGGGAGGAGGAGGAGGAGGAGGAGGAGGAGGAGGAGGAGGAGGAGGAGGAGGAGGAGGAGGAGGAGGAGGAGGCCATCTTACTCCTCCAGACTCTTTTTCTGCCAGCCCTGGACCAAGTGGGTTGAATTTGGTGGCCTCAGAACTGTTCAGAGTGGCCTTCAAAACAAGCTCCATGAGATGCCATTGGATTGTAGAACTTTTCTTCCTACCATTGAAGTTGTCAGAAGTTGTGGGTGCTTCATCACTGGAGGTTTTTAAGAAGAGACTGGACAGCCACTTGTCTGAAAAGGGATAGGGTCTCCTGCTTGAGCAGGGGGTTGGACTAGAAGACCTCCAAGGTCCCTTCCAGTTCTATTCTGGTTGACTGATTGATCATCCAAAGCAAGAAATACAGCTTTTATTAAATCCCTGCCCTTAGATACATGCCATGTCAATTCCTGGACCCAAATATAAAGGGGACAATTAAGCTCCATCTGGGAACTGGAAAAGGACCAGGGAATGTTCTTCCCAGAGGCTGCTGGATAAGGTACATTTTCCTTTGGAATAAGCTTTTCAGACCAGATTGGAATTTTTAATTTCCTGCTTGCTAGGATCAGCAAGTGAGGCTAAGGCAGGGAGGACGGAGCCAAGCCAACCTCAATTGCGGCCATTAACTCAAGGACTCCCTGTACTTGTGTTTTCTAGAATCTACCCAACTGGCAGGTTGTCCCTCCATCTTATTCTGAGGGACCAAAACAGCGCTGACACATTCCCTCCCCCCCCCCCAATCTAGGCAGAAACACACACAAAGCCACTTTGAACTCTCTGAGTTCCCAGAACTCAATTAACATCCATTTGATATCAATAAATATGTTAAGCAGCTTCCTGTTTCCGAAAAGGTTTCATGCTAACTAACCAGATGCACCAACACACATCCCTCTCCTGGCTGCTTCAGAAGCTCCACTTGCTTCTCTTGGGAGATGAAAGAGAATGGATTTGCAAAGAGGAGGCTGTGCCCTTCCGAGACCCCAGAGGTGCAGCACCCCAGTTGTCGCCTTGGATCCACATGGCAGTTGTGTTGCCTACTGAGCAAGAGACACAATATTCCTGTCTCTAGGAGAGGGTAGCCTTTCTATGCTCAGTTGGGCTCCGGGTGGTTTTCTAGATCTCTTTCTGACCTTCTCAGAACCATGTAGGAAAAATTTACAGCTCCAACTTCTCAATGAAAGAATCAAGAGCTGAAGAAGCTTCTTGGATGAGAAGTGAAAGGTCTTCAAAGAAAAACAAGAAAGCCCAGTAGCCTCTTGACAAAGCACCTTTGGGTCAACCATGACCTGGAGGATGGAGAATCTCCATAGACCAGTGGTTCTCAACCTGTGGGTCAGGACCCCATTTGGGGTCAAACGACCATTTCACGGGGGTTGCCAAACAACGCAGTCCGCCATTTTTTCCCCCTTTCCTTAGCTGTGCTACTCCCTTTTATTCTATTGGCTTTTGAAAGCCAATAGAATAGACTCTCTTGAATAGAGTCTAATTCTATTGGCTTTCAAGAGCCAATAGGAATTGTCCAGGCTGTCTCTGCCCTGCTGAGCCCGCCAAAAGTCCCATTCTGCAAACGGTGCTGCACCAGTTGAGTAGTCCTCGATTTACGACCAGTTGGGGGTCGCGGCATTAAAAAGGTTGAGAACCACTGCCATAGACCTTCTGGCCTTTGGTTTTCCAATCTCTGAAATCCAGAAGTCAAAATGACCAATTGTTGAGGGTCTTCTCGATTGTCCTGAACGCTCAGCCTTGTTGGTGGTGGGTCCTCTCTTGAAGAAATGAAAGGAACGTTCTGCTTCCCTGTGGAAATCTGCCCGACCAACTCCTTCTATTTTGAGATGGGATTTTGAATCCAATTGACTTTAACGATTGACTTTATTCTTGCTGTTGACTCTTCTCCCATTGACCCTTGTTTTGTGCTGATGCACTTTTAAATAATTCGATCGGGAGCAATTTCCAGCTGCTGTTTTATTGCTTTGGGTTCCCTTTTTGAGAAGTGTCTTGGGAAAGATAGATATGGTAAAAGAGGAGATAACATTGATTACAGGAAATTAAATAAGCCGTCCTTGGCAGAGGCCCACTCTGGAAATGTGTCCTTTACCTTGGGGTTAGATCCTCTAAGTGGCTGTTTTCACACTTGCACAGATAATGGTCACAAGAGAGTCTTGCACAGTTCACCCAGCAAGAGATTTAACCTGAGTGGATCACCTCCCAACAACATGAAACCATATATAAATATTTGTAAATAAATAAATAAATAAATAAACCACAGTGCTGGGCGCTCCTGTCCCCACAACTGGTTATGCTACCAGCAGACAAGTGGGGAAAATGGAAATGCACAGATCCTGAGAGTGCTCAATTCTGCTCTTTCCTCACCAGTTTTATAAGCCACTGCGCAAGGAAGGAACAGGTAATCTACCTGCCAACAGTGCTAACATCTCACTAGTGTGGCCTTGTTTTCAAAAACCCAATTCTGGTTTTTTTCCCCTTTTGAGAA